TTTAATGGGTTAATTTATTTTCCTTATTTATGGGGTAGTTTTAATTGTTGAGGGGATTTTTGATTTTAACTGTGAGCCGCCCAGAGTCACCCGCTGGGGGGAGATGGGCGGCATACAAATTTAATAATAAATAAAAATAAATAAAATAAATATATGTGATAAATAGTGATCAGTTTGAGAGAGAATTGGAAGGCTTTTTAGAAATATGAAATCAGTTGTCGCTACGAATATCTGTTCTGCTGTTCCAGCTCAAGAAATGCTGTCACTTAAAACAAGCTCAAACTGCAGGACTTTGGGGGGGGGGGTTGTGGAGGAATGTTTCACACTGGTTAACGGTGACTCACTGAAGGCATTTCAGCAGAGGCTGACTTGACCATCTGTCAGAGTTATCTCAATTGCCTTCTGTGTAGCAGATCCTGGATTGAGAAAGGAGTCGAACTAGTTGCCCTCCAGGGTCCTTTTCAATTCTATGATTCTAAAACAATGTCCATTTAGCCAGAAAACACTTGTAAATGCTTCCCACTGTGGAGAAAAATGAAAGCCAACTGTAAAGAATATACTTAGAAACAGTCAGGAATAATCACTGAATTGAGGCAGCAGATAGCTTTGGGTTCTTTGCTTGAAAGCCAATGTGTTTGGCTTAGTGAAAGGTGTGGGGGCACAGAGACGGATCTCTCTGCATAACAATGTCATCCTTCAAAGAGTTGGCCACAAGGTGATAAATATATTTAAATGATGAGCTGAGCAGGCACAGTTCTATTCAGATTTCATTGTACAAGGGAAGCACAGTCACTCCCATGACTAACAATGGGACAAAAGTAAGCTGTATGTACTTTCTATCTTTGGACCACATAAAACTGATCCATTATGAAGACAGAAGTAAAGACACGGAATCCCCGAAAAGATTATGTTAGGTGAAGAGAGATGAAGCGGACAACTTGTGGGCGGTATACAAATTTAACAATAAATAAAAATAAATAAAATAAATATATGTGATAAATAGTGATCAATTTGAGAGAGAATTGGAAGGCTTTTTAGAAATATAGAATCAGTTGTCGCTACGAATATCTGTTCTGCTGTTCCAGCTCAAGAAATGTCAATAACAGTAGCCAAATCCTTCCATAATAATCTGACTCCCAGCTCAGTCCTGGCCTGTTAAATCTCTGTAAAGTCCTTCATATCTTGTTACTTGAGCCTTACATAATCTTCCTTTTTTACAGCAGCTTCATATTTTTATAATTCCTTGCTGGAACTCTTGACCTTTTCTACCAAGAAATGGCAGATGTGGCACCCAAAAGCTTCCAGACTTTCTAAACGGAACCTGGAATCGCTTTAGATACCTTCTGAGACCTTCCTATGCCTTGTTCAAATATCCTAACTGCAGCCAGTGAATTTTTTTTATCCACTTTCAGTCAGGCTTTCATAATATGTCTGCAACGGTGTGCACAAAGCTGTTTCATGCTTAGCTCAGCGTGTATCAGAAATGTTGGCTTTCACATGACTGGCTCAATCTATGGCTATGGAGTGAGAAGCAGATTAACATGTCTCAGATGATTATGAGAATAAGATCTGAATCGATGCTTTCATTCCTGGTCAGAAATAGGGGGAAAAAACCTCCAGTGGCTAAATGAATATAACATTTTGTTTTTCATTGCAGCCTTTTAAAGATTTGGGGACAGTTTAAGAGATATTATCCAGAATACAGTGCTACCTTCACAATCTCGTGCTTTACAAATGCATTGGACTACAGCATTCACAATTCCCAGAAGGTGCTAGATTGGTGGGAAATGATTTACTGTAATCTGGATATAATTTTCACTGAATGTAATAAAAATGTAATCTTTGAAATATAATATTTGGAACCCAGGTGTTTGAGAGCCAAATTCCACTACCAAGTCTATAGTATTTATAGTTGGTAGATCATTTAACAACCAACTACGCAAGCAGAGGACTCCACCGCAAAAGGGGATGTTCAATTCTATTTTTTCTTTATCAGTCATCAGATGAAATGGATCAGCAATGGACTGGATAAAGGCAATAAACTGAAACACAATCTGGGTAAGATGGACATCCTATCAGTCAGTGATTCCAGGTGTGCAGATCCAGGTGTGAGAGGAGCATAGTACCTTCTCATGGATCTCTTCTTTTCTGGTGAATCTGGGAAGTCTTTCTCAGTTGTAGCAGTATGACCTGGCTAACAGTAACAGGAGACTGAGGGCCACCCCTTTAATTCCTGCAATGCCCAAGACTGACATGATACTGCTGGCATCGTGAGGAATTGTAATGGCAGTTTTGAGGGCTGAGCCAATAAATAGGTAGGCAGGTAGGTATGTAGATAGAGATACATGATCAGATAAATTAGATAGATAGATAGCTAGATAGATAGATAGATAGATAGATATGTAGATAGAGATACATGATCAGATAAATTAGATAGATAGATAGCTAGATAGATAGATAGATAGATAGATATGTAGATAGAGATACATGATCAGATAAATTAGATAGATAGATAGCTAGATAGATAGATAGATAGATAGATATGTAGATAGAGATACATGATCAGATAAATTAGATAGATAGATAGCTAGATAGATAGATAGATAGATAGATATGTAGATAGAGATACATGATCAGATAAATTAGATAGATAGATAGCTAGATAGATAGATAGATAGATAGATATGTAGATAGAGATACATGATCAGATAAATTAGATAGATAGATAGCTAGATAGATAGATAGATAGATAGATATGTAGATAGAGATACATGATCAGATAAATTAGATAGATAGATAGCTAGATAGATAGATAGATAGATAGATATGTAGATAGAGATACATGATCAGATAAATTAGATAGATAGATAGCTAGATAGATAGATAGATAGATAGATATGTAGATAGAGATACATGATCAGATAAATTAGATAGATAGATAGCTAGATAGATAGATAGATAGATAGATAGATGAGAGAAAAAGAGAGAGATAATAGATAAATTCACAGCAGAGCAGGAGTAGGAGCTTTTTGCACGGATTGGATACAGTTGAAATTTTCAGGCTTTTTGTTTGCACTCTTACAAAAAGTCT